ACCCTACCGCCGAGGGTCATGATTTGAACAATTTAGAATCTACACTACCTTAGGATGCTTCCATATAAGTTTCAGCTTTTCTGGCCCTGTGGTTCTTGAGAAGATTTTTTAATGACCCCACCTTATTTTTGTCTTTTCTTGATTATCTCCTCTTGTAAGGGGGCTAGGCCCTTCGTTTTAACAATTTAAACTTCCCTTGGATCCAATCATGCTTTGTACCAACTTTGGTTAAAATTGGCTCAGTGGTTCTTGAGAAGAAGTTGAAAATGTGAAAAGTTTACGGACAGACGGACGACGGACAACGGGTGATCAGAAAAGCTAACTTGAGCTTTCAGCTCAGGTGAGCTAAAAAGCGTGTGGTCATGCTGAGGAAAATTAAAATTAAAATATTTATTCAAACTGGACATGTAACAAACTCAGAAAGTAGCTTAAAAATCGCATTGAAAAAAATCCAAAAACTTTTCAAAAAACTTCTAAATCACAAATCAAACACATGTCATATGTCCATAATGTAAATAAATCCTTAGTTCCATCAACGTAACCAATCATTTTGCCCGGAAACCACCTTTAATTAAGTACTAGAAATTACTTCTTTTTTTTTTTTTTGGAGAGAACGAAACACTGCCATAAATCAAGGGGAACAACTCTTGCGAAAAAATACGAAATCTATTGCATAATGTAAGGTGATGAAATTAGCTAATGGATGGATAGATTTGTCTTTGAGATGCAAAAAGATGAAACTGAATACAATCTGATTAAATTCAGATCCTTTGATCCGCTCACATAGATCGCTACACAATAAGCGATCTATGTGAGCGGATCAAAGGATCTGATTTTAATCAGATTGAAACTGAATAGCTCCCAAATTATTTATTTCACATTTTTTGATCTTCTCAGACGCTTTTGTAACCAATGAATATACGACAAAAACTTTCTGGATGAGAAAAATTGCAACATTGTTATATTTTGGGGAGTAGTTGATGCTAAATGCTAATTTAGAGCCCAAGCCAAGTTCTAGAGAAGGAAAATTAATTGAGGGAAAAGGAGTTTTCGGAAAACAAACAACGATTTTTTTTTTGCGGGGCTGTGACCAAAAAAAAAAAAATGAAAAAACATAGTGACTCCATATTCTCGCAAAAGGTTATTTTATGCTCAGAAATGTTCAAAATGGATTTGGCGCCAGACTGAAAATGTATATAAGTATAAAGGTGTTACATTTTCTCCTGGTGTTGAAGGTGTTAATATTTTCAACTGTAATATAAATTTTAAAAAAAAAAAAAAGCATTCACATTGGTCAAGTGGTTTCATTTTTTTTAAAATCGACTATTTGTTTAATAGCATTAAGCATTTTCCACGATTTTTAAGAAAAAAAGCTTTAAACATGTATTCAGATCTTTTAATGAATATTTTAAAATTTTTAGGATCGATCACAGTTAAAATGTTGAAGGAGTAACTCTCTCTATAAGGAATTTAAATAAAATAAGCAGAATACTTCTTAAAATCTTTATTAAAAGTCCATGGCTTAAAGCTTCGATAGAAATTCAACACGCTAAAAGGTTTTTTTTCTAAAGTTGCAGCATTTTTTCTAACACAGACTTCAAGGCGTTGGACTCAGTTTTCAACATTGAAGAATGACCTCTAATTAGAATAAATTTTCTGTACCTATTTACAAATGATTATCATCTTGCAACACATTTGTTTCGTAAATTATGTTTCTCCTTATAAATGTTTACTTCTTATCAAGCATTTTTAAGTAAAGGTTATGTGAGCGAGCTCACAAAATAATACCCTAAGACTTTTTTTTAAAGTGTGCGCATTCAAATTCTGTAAATGTGACCTCGAACTTGTCAAACAGACCTTGTTTTTAAAAAATGACACACCCTCTTGTCATTAGTAATCTTTCGATGAAATATGGACATGCAATGTTTCTTCATTAGAAAAACGTAGACCTGTCATGAATTTTACACTTTTTATACCAGTGACCTTGAACTTGCCGGAATGACCTTGGGTCAAGGTCGCGACACATTCTAAGGTCTTAAACAATTTCTGTACCAAGTATGCGCTTCGAATGATTCTTCATTACAAAGTGCCGGAATGACCTTGGGTGAAGGTCATAATACACCCTTGGATCATAAGCAATATCTGTATCAAGTTTAAGCTTCCAGTGATTCTCCATTACAAAGTCAAAGTTATACATGTTGACAGGACAATAATTTTATACTTTTTCTGCCAGTGACCTTGAAAATGTCGGAATGACCTTGCGTCAAGGTCATGACAAACCATTGGATCAATCTCTATACCAAGTATGAGTTTCCAGTGATTCTCCATTACAAAGTTATAACCCGGACAAGATTGCACGGACAGACGGACGGATGAATATATCCTAAAACTTTGTTTTCGAGGAGGGATATAATCACGTTCATATTACTTTTATAAAACCATTTGTTATGAGACTTATGCTAGTGTGATTGTTGATTCTGCCAAAATCGGAAGCCACAAGCAATAATTCTGAATAAAATTGTATAAGTATTAATTCAATATGACATAGAAGGTAAAAAGCTTCAAAATACTTTTAAACCAACATATTTTGGTTCTTACCTCTTAGGTACTCACATCTTATGAATATACACCCTATTTAGGCCAAAAATATCTTTCGTATCTGACTTTATAAATACTTTGAATTCAATTACACGACGCATGTGAAGTAAGAGAATTCTTTTCCAGATTATATCCTGACTGGTGGCTTATGAAGCATGATTTTTAAATCATTATTTGTTCGATGCAGTTGCCATTTAACGGATTTTAATACAAATTAGGCAGATTTTTATTTTCTCCTAATGCGATTTAAAAATGATTATTCTCCGAAAAAATATGGGAATGGGGAAAAGATGTGAAAATAATAAACACTTGAAAGTCTAAATTCTTTTTATCCGATTAAAATAAGCTTTTTTAATGACACTTTAGTGTCGTCCTAAAAATTATAACAATCTGTCTCAATTTTATAACATAGTATACTAAGCATTTATCGCCCGCATGTCACAGTTGTTAGAGCTGTTTTGTTCTAGAGTCGCGGAGTAAGCCAAGGACTTGATTTCTTATCAACTGGATTCAAATCCAACTGCGAGAATGGATACCTGTACTTCGGATGGAACTATATTAACCAAGGTCCCGTATTGCAATAGGTGCTGATACGAAAGCATGCATTATTGCTCAAAAGCTACACGTACCAAGTACAGTCCTTCACCAGTAGTGGCGTCCCAGCATGACTGAAAATTTGTCGAAGTTACATAAACCAAAGCAAACAAACAAACATTCATTAAGCAGTTAAAGAACTTTACAATCAGTATAAGCAGCAAACAGGATATAAAAATACAAGTTACCTTTTGCTTTATGATATAATTATGTAGGTTTGAGTTGACTAGCATGTTTCTTCTCTGATTATGGTTTTCTTGCTAAGATAGTCCTAAATATATATCTGACGTTTTCCAGTTGTTTTTCACGATATTGATATTTGACATGCCAGGAAAACGTCAGAACCGGTGCCATTATGCATATGAAAAGTGGAAATTCGCCGCCTCCAAACTGAGGAGGCATTTTCGGGTCGATTTTCGATACATGCGTACCGATTTAAATGTCGAACCCACATCTTATCAACAGTACAATGCTTCTAGTTCTTATATATAACCAATATCGTTTTAAATTTATTGTTCCTTTGTTATAAAAAGTGTTTGGTGAAAACGTTTTATCAAAATGTCTCGGTTTGTTCAGATTTCGTGTATTTTGAAATCTCATGAGACTTGTATCGAAATGTGGATTGGTATTTCCTTTTAAGCGATACTGGTGAGAACTAGAAGCATTGTGCTATTGATAAGTTGTGAGTTTGACATTTAATTCGATTTGCAAGTTTCGAAAATCGAATTTCTATTGCAAGTTTATGTGTACTTAATCTAATTCTACTAAGTGAAGATCTTTCAGATCTTTTTCTGAGTAAATCAACATATGAACTTCTTTTTCTTAATTGTGTATAATTTTTTTTTTATAGAATTCAAGTTTTTCTGAACCAAAGATTTTTGATGCTCTTGAGTGCACTGGTCAATGATTCTTTGTTTTATGTTGGGTAAAAGATGTTGAATGGAATTTTTATATTTTTTAATGTTTGAAAATCCCAGATTATCTAGAGCAGAAAATAATTTCTTAGTCCAAGAATTGCAGTTACTATAGTGGATTAAATTGGTAATTAGTTTAAAAGCCAAAGAATCAGAAGTTTTCAGCTGATTCTAATATTTAATACTTGAGCATGAAATTTTAGACCAAAGTGGTAGCCTCTTTTAAAAGTTCTGCTAGACAACCAGCATTGGATGTTTTGCAATGCACTCCAAGGATCTTTAATAAATTTTAACTGAAATTTTTCTATATTTGAAATATTTTTGAATGAGAGATCCACTCCCCATGTTTCACTACAATAAAGAAGAACTGGAAGTACAATAGCATCAAAAAGTTTTTCTAAAAGCTTACATGGGTTATCAAAACCAATAATTCTTTTCATTTTAAAACATGCTTTTCTAGCTTTTTCAATAAACACAGCAGTTGCTAAATTAAACCTCCTATTACATTTCATCATTTATAAATAGACATAAAAGCTCTGAGACCCTCTCCTGATTATGTATCTGTTTAATCAATTACCTATATATGTACCTCCCTATTTTTATACAAGTTTTGGTTTATAGTCTAATTGCTGTTGTTTTTTTTTATTTATAATTTTTTGATATTCTTATTGATTTATTTGACAATAGACAATAATGTAATTGCTGTTTTTGTTTATTTATTTATTTTATTTTATTTATTTATTTATTTATTTTTTTTGATATTCACATTCATTTATTTGTAATAGACCCTACTCATTAAAATAAATGTATTTTCATGAATAAAGAAACAATTTTGTATGAATTAATAAAGAAAAAAAAGAAACTCTAATTTAGAGTCTAAAAAGAGACTCTACACAGGAAGTAAAAATATTTCCGGGAAGCGGTACATTTGATTAAAAATGAATATCCAGGATGATATGGAGTGGATTACTTGTGATTCTCCGGTCAATATTGCGGTTATAAAATACTGTAAGTTTATGTAAGGCATGCATTGAAAATTTAGCTTTCGGACGGATGAAAAGACATCCTGCTTATATTTCGAATTTCCTCACTATCGCACGTGTTTCTCGAATTTGCACGAAGATGAAATAAAAATGCGGAGAGAGAAAAAAAAAATCATAAGAAAAATAGTTAAAGTTGAGCTTTATTTAATATAATGTGAAAGAAAAGTAGATGAATTTTGTTCACTGGGTGTGTTATGATTTGAATTGTGGAATGGTAGCTATGTTAATATATCACTATCAGTCATGAAGAACTTGTCAATGTGTAATTATAAAATGTTTATCTAGGTGACTGTTCCTAGAGTTAGCTAATTTAATTTACTTAATCGTGATTTTGAGAATTATAGATTTGCTCATAACCAATTACATTAAACTATGTTTATCAACAGAACACATTCATACATGTAATAAATTTTTGTCATTTTAACCATACTGTTAATTGGTGTTTAAAACGTCTTTCTTATGAAAATTGTAGCTATAGCTAATATCCATTGCTATCAGGGCCATCTTATAAAATTCTTGAGAATACTAATGTCCTGACTGTTATTGTTCCTACTTTCAATGAAGTCAGATGACACCCCACAGGCATTTGTTTCTGCAATAATTGTTTTAACCCATAGTATAATAATTATACTAGGGGTCAAAAAACTTATAACAGAAACAATTGCCTGTGTGACATCCATATAATTATACATGTATATGTAATCTTTATCATAAACAGGGGGAAAGAGAGATGAGAAACTGATTTTGCCATTGAATTCTTCAGTCAGTATCACCTTGAACCATGAAGAGGTAAGTCTAAACTTTGAATACATACATCAATTAATTAAATAATAATGATAATTTATTATTTTTGTTAAATATTATTTCATTTTTATAGCTGAGAGCCAGAACTACAGTTGCTATAAGCAGAAACTTCAACGAAGACAAGATGTGGTTAAATGGAAAGTATGCAGGTTTTATTCATTCTTTGAACAGGCACGTAGCTAGGCGTATTTGCCTATAGGCATACGCAAGTGCTTCCACATCATTTTCACAAATAATAATACTAAAACAAAAATTGAATCCCATCATAAATCAGGCAATACTTTTTCTTCTTTATTGTTAATTTCATGATGAGGAAATAAGCATTTTAAACGTTGAATCTCAGATTATTTTTATGTAACTCTCTTTTCTGGATACTCAAAATTAAGTGTCAGAAATGCTGAAAACTTGCCAGCTTCCAGGGGCCCTCACCAGGGCTTTGCCCAGGACCCATTGGGGCTTTAAGGCAGCCCCCAACCCCCTGTCTTGATTTGCTTCCAGTCATTAAACACTCCCTAGCTACACCCCTGTTGAATGTGGTATTTCTCTAAAGCTTAGGCATTTTTTTTGTGATAGTGTCTTCAAGAGGAAAAAAGATGAAAGTTTATTTGACTTATTAAAGGACCTGCAACATTCTTCTTGACATTCTATCATGACCTATCTGTATCATCATGATCATAGGCATATCTTATCAATCATGAATCCTGTCCTTTCGTGCTTATATCCTATCAGGGTTTTTTTTTCTCCATTTTTGTGCCATTTATCAGTAATTCCATCATATTTTGTGTTTATTGGATTTTCCTTCACCGTGTTTTGTGTTTACAAGGGGTGATCAAAAAGTTCGCGAACTATCTCAATATTTACAAAACATAATTCAGATCAGAATGAAATTTGGCACACATATAGTCATACACATGTTCTATAAATAGCAGATGTTGTATAATGTTTTGCTGTGTGTTTGTGACGTCACAGTGTGAAAATGACGTCAATATGTAGGTGACTTGTGACAAAAAATGGTTGACTCAGTCATACTTGAGCATTGAACGACTGTAAAGTTTAATGTATATCTCAGAAATTCCTTTGCAGTAGAATATGATAATTTGTACAATGTTTATGAAGACAAAAGACTTACCAGAAGTTCAATCATTAATTGGATTTATTGTTTTAGTGAAGGCAGGGAGATGATTAAAGATGATGTTCGTTCTGTTGCCCAGCAAAAGCAAGCCGGTAAAAAGAGCTGTCCTTAATTTAGCAATTTGTTTTGAAAGATTGCCAAGTTACAATTAGAAAAATAGTTGAATATTTGAACAATACATGTAAATATAATTTATTATAAAACCCCTTAAATATCATTTACTTTAGACTTTAAACATATGAGATATGAAAAAAAGAAGGCGCCCATACTTTTTCCACATTGGATAAACGACGCTCCCAAGACAGAGGATTCAGGTTGTATGGTCACCATGCTAATTCTGGTAAGGGATATCCTTATCCACCCATCCTATTGCTGAGATTTGGCTATTTCTGACAGATGGTCTGTTCTTTTTAGAAAAAATAACTTGCATGGTAAGAAATATAAGACTCGGAAGAATCTCTTAGCTTCCGTGAACAGAGCCCTATGGAGCATGTCATGTGACTGCCTGGATCACGTGATTCGCACATGGGCAGAACAATCGCAGATGTGCATTAAAATCGGAGAAGACTACTTTAAAAAATAATGAACACTGAAACCTCATTTTATTTCTTTTAAGGAAGTAATTCAATTAGTTCACAAACTTTTTGATCACCCCTTGTATTTCATAAATTTTATGTTTCTCATTTTTAAAAAGTTCATGAAGATCTAAACTTAGACTTCTCAAACAGGCATATTTTATGAAGTGCATATAAGCTTAGGTTTATTGGGAAGATTATTTATTGGTTTTTGCATTTATTCATTGGTCTATCAAGTAAATTGTTATTTAAGTGTTATTTGTAGGTTTTGCATTCTGTAAATTTCTTTATATGGTTTTACTTTTATCTATTATCTATCTTATCATATATCATGCACATATCTTGTTGTATCATGAGTGTATCCTATCCTACTGTGGGTACATGTATCCTGGGATCCTATCATGTATTATGTCAAGAATAACACAGCAGGTACTTTACCAAGTAGAAGATATATACAGTATATGAAAGTTATATCCTGTGAATAAATGCATGCCTTAATATAAAAAAAAAGTTTCATATTTTAAAAAAAATAATGATCAACAGTATACTGATTTGAAAGTACACCTTATTTTGAAAGACATATATTTTAATTGATACTTTTACCATATACATGTATTTTAATGTATGATGTATTCCTGAGAATTTGATAATATTTAGCATATTTTTCTGTATAATTTTTTTTTCAGGGAGCAATCCATGAAAAATGCCAGATTACAGTCTGTCATATCACAAAGTAAGAATGCATGTGCATCGGTACTTAATATTCAAATTTGAGAACAGCTTGAGTATTTTTATTTATGTTATAATAAATGAATGCAGACCAGTTGTAACTCTTTAGTAAAAAGGCTGAGCAGAAAAAGGAAGACAGATTGTGATCAGCTGGATGAAAAGCTGCAATGGAAACTACACATTTGTTCAGAGAACAACTTCCCAACTGCTGCTGGGCTTGCATCCTCTGCAGCTGGGTATGCCTGTTTGGGTGAGTAGATTTTTGTGATCCAGGCTTTTGTTCATTAAATTGAGTACTTGTTACTGTTCAAGCAAAAGTTTATTACTTTTATTTCCAGTGTATGCTTTGTCTAAGCTGTATGGCATTAATGGAGATATATCCAAAATAGCTAGGTGAGGATTTATTTAGCAAAAACAAAATTAAGGAGAATAAAATTGAAAATAATTCATAACAGAACTTTATACCACTGAATTCTTTATTTTTTAATGATAAAATGTATCACTGAGGAATTTCCCATTAGACCCATATTAAATTTATTACTTGAATCTGTATAGTTACATATGTAAACTTATACCTTCTATTTCCATCTAATATAAATGAAATGTTAATGTTATTTCAAAGCAGATTCAAACAAAAGATAATGTGTTAGTGATATAAATTTTGGAAATGCATTAATTCTCCTGCTTACCACACATTGATTTTCATGTAATCACAACATGAATTTGCATGAGACAGAAACAGTTTTAATGCCAGTTTAATTTATACACATTGTTCCCTATATCAAAGAGCAAAGATTCGTTTTATGTTAGAAATTTATGACTCTATATGAAATATCTGTATATATAATTAAAGCGACCAATTTGTTTGTGTTCAGACTAGGCTCTGGCAGTGCCTGTCGCAGTTTGTATGGAGGCTTTGTCATCTGGAACAAAGGAGAATCGTCTGATGGGGAGGACTCAAAGGCAGAACAAATAGCCCCAGAAACACACTGGCCAGAGCTTAGGATACTTATACTAGTGGTGAGAGACAGCATCTCTTAAATCCCCTAAAAAATGTTTTTTGACATGGAAAAAAAACTGTCTTATATGACAATGTGAATACTGAGTTTGTCTATTTCATTTTCAACATTAGGGTACCAGCCAGTTACCCCAAAGATAAATATTCAAAGACAACTAAGTATAATCAACAGAAATTACTGTTGTTATTAAAATGGGGCCAAAAAATGCAAATAAAATGCTCAGTTATCTATCTTTGTGTAATACAATGTCAAGAAATCTTTCAATGAATTGATAACAAATAGAGTGAAACATTTTAGGTTTCGGATCAAACTAAGCACACAGGAAGCACAGTGGGTATGCAGACAACTGTAGCAACATCAGAACTCCTGCAGCAACGATTACAAACTGTACCTCAGAAAGTTGACAAGATCAAACAAGCAATACTGAATAAAGACTTCCATTCATTTGCAGAAATAACAATGAAGGTATATGGTGTACATGCATCTTTCATTGTTTTAAAATTTTATTCATATGGATTCATGTATTTTTTCAAGTATGCTTTATAAAGAATATTGTGGAAAAAATGATCAGGGAAAAATGTTATAAGAAATTAATTTCAACTTCAAAGATTTGAAATATGTACATGTATATATGAATGAAAGTTTCTTGATAATTGAATCTGGAAATGCTGTTGATCTTTGTTCTCTTGAAATTAATATTTTGAGTACTCTTTCTTGTATGTATTTTATCCTCATGCAAATCTGGAATCCTTGGCTCCATCATGTTCAGGATAGTGAGGTTTGACTGTACTTTGATCTTGTTGTACTGAATTTTTGTACTGATCCAGACTTAGAAACTTCTTTTTAACAACAGGACAGTAATCAGCTGCATGCTGTTTGCTTGGACACATATCCCCCCGTGTCGTATCTCACCGACACATCTCATCACATCATGCAGCTTGTTCATGCAATTAATGAAGACAATACCTCAAACATGGTAATATAAAGTTTTGATAATTTTTTTCTCATATAATGAAAGTAATTTAATATGATTTATATATCAACTAATGTTTGCTAGTCCAAGAATATGGAATGAAATGTTGAAAAAGATCTGAGTACTGTAGACATGTTTTTTTTGGGGGGGGGGGGTGTAATTAACAATTAACACTATGTTCACGGTCACAGATTTTCTGTGGATTATGGTGTGCTTAAAGTATATTGCAGACATACAAAGGCAGTCCAAGAATTGAAAAGATATTGTGAGTCCACAGAATTATAACCCTGTTGAAAAACATACATTTTCTGTAAAATCAAAAAATTCAACATGCAGGAAAATTGTAATATAGCTGTTGAGAAATGCAAGGTTTTTAATGAGTTTCTTATTCTAAAACAGAATTGCTGTCCTTAAACATGAGAAGACTGGGAAAAAAAATCTTGTGTGCAAGCTTACTCAAAATGTGTAGTGACTAGTGTGTCCATGATCTTGTTGGTACCCCCCCCCCACTCCAAATATTTCAAAAACTGCTAGGCTACACTTTATTGAACTGATAACATGAATTATTTTATAGTTTTAACTGGGGGTGGGGTTTGGGAGGAGATGAGGCATTACATGGGTCTAAATTTTATATAGCTGCCATAGTTTTCAGTATTGTTGTCTGAGTGACTTAATTTTGTATGTCTTGCTTTTCTAGGTAGCTTACAGCTTTGATGCAGGTCCTAATGCCTTCTTATTCATGCAAGAAAAAGATGTCCCAACAATTATAAATATTCTTCGTTACTTCTATCCCAGTTCTGACCCCCACTTTCTTAGAGGATTACCAGTTCCAGAGAAGGATGATTATCATGTAAGCTACAGATGATAATCCATTTCAATTTTTTTTTTTTTTTTTGGCCATACATGTATACTCGGTAGTATTTAGTTTGACACTAGCAGCAAAAAAATTCTCTAAAGTATATTTCATTGAAACAAATAAAGTTTTTAAGAAGACAGCAACTGAAGTAAATTTAATCATCAGTTTTTAATTATAGGTGGATTATACTACGTTCATTGAACTTAAAGTGGTTCCCAGGGCCCTTAAATTTGTCATCTACACAAAACCTGGACCAGAGCCAAGTGTGAAGGAAACGGATTGTGGACTTCTAGCCAGTGATGGCTTACCTAAACTTCATCAATGACAGGACCTGAACCATGAAGAGATTTTTGCAATACTCTATAACTCTTTTTATATGAAATATAATAAAATGAAAAACACTAAGCATTGTTCAGTACACATTAAAATTAAAAAACAGAGACCAGAATACATATTTAAATAAAGTACATTCCTTCATAATGACATCAGCCAGAGGAGAAAGATATGACCCCTACTGATTTTGAGAGCACAAGGTCAAAGATAAAAATAATCATGATATAAAAAGATTGAATCAGGGTTGTTCCTAAGACCCAGGGGTTGGGGAATTTCCATGCCTTTAGTGGCATGATCCCCCAGTTATTTTGGTATTCCCCCTCAATTTTCTGTTAGGGGAGGAACCCAAAACTCCCTTCTACCTATTAAATGTCCCATTATTTCCATTTTTTAGGGACAACCCTGTGAATGCTCAATATCTTGAGAACTCTTTGCTTGACTGACATCAAACTTTGTACTCTGGTACTCCCCAAGGAGTAGATGACCACTGAAAAAAAGTGTATATTTATTGTGCACGAAAAAGTGCACTGTCTTTCTATTTATATCTCTGCATACTTAAGCTGCTAATTCAAAATTTTACTAACCATGTTCCTAGCATAGTCATTTACTACTTCCACAACCAAACATTCCCAAAAGCCATTGTTGATAGCCATTCTGGGCTTGAAATTGAGACCATCAAAAATTTTGCCTATTTATACTGCCATTTTGAATGGCAAGACAATTCGGTCCAAGGCATGACTTTTTAGTAGAAGTAGTGAAAGAATAATTTAGGAAGACATGGTGAGTAATATTTTGAGATGTACAGAGAAATAAATCAGGAAAAAGAGCACATTTTGTGTGCAATAAATATACACTTTTTGTCAATGGGTGGCACTGTAGCTCTCTGGCCATCCTGAATTTTTTCCAGACCAGCGAGCTAAGATCTGCAGCTATGGAACCCCCTAAAAAGTAGGTGATCTCTTGATTTTGAGGTCAATAGATCAAAGGTCAAATTACTGTGGATAAATAAAGATTCTGTCTGCTCAATATCCTGGGAATCCTAAGCTTGACAGATCAAACTTGGAAAACACTCCTCCGATATCTCCTATGGAGTACTGCAAGTCGTTTTAATTCCATGGTGTTAAAATTTCACGATTTCTCAAAAAGTACTAATTGTGATGGTTCTAATTACATAATGCAAGAAATTAATTTAGATTTCGTTTAAGCATTTAAACGTTTTTAAAAAACATGATTTCATTCATGATGAATGTAATTTCACAGAAAAATGATGAATCGTGAACATAGTGAAATTAAAACCATCATGATTATTTGCCAATCTACAGTATGTGGCCCTATTGATTTTGAGATCAATACCATGAATATACTGAAGTGAGTTGGAAGTCCTAACCACCTTTTTTTAAAATATATTCAACCTCATTGTCTTTCATCCTTGGACGGCACGAAATTTTTCTTGCCCCATCAAGTATTGGATAACAAAGTTTGACTGAATAATTATTTTGTAAATAATATTTTAATATCTATAAAATCTTGGATACCTTAGGCTAGCTATGTAGGTGTATATTTAGTTAATTTGTTACTTTCCTTACCAGTATTTATTCTGTCAGTGACAAGCTTAGATATTTCATTTTCAAACATTCGATCTCCTTTGTTGGCTTTTTTAGTTACTTTTTAAATACTGTATACAGGATTATTTTCACCAAGTTATTTTTGCCTTATTACACCATCACCATCATCGCAAACCATGGCCAAAATATACGATCCTCTCCAATTCTGTAGGAGAGAGCTGTATGCAGACTCCGGACAATGGCTTGAGACGATGCATCTTCGCTAGCCAAGAGTTCCTGATCCAGATCTGCCCTGCATTTACATGTAGCTCAGTTCAAAGCTCAGTTTCAAAGCTCACTATTCATGATATTTTATCAAACTTCATATACTGATGAGAGCTATTCAACTGCATCAACATTTTTGGACCTTGACCTTTCCTTTGACCTTGACCTCACTTGACCTCTTTAGAGTAGTGTTAAGCTCAATTTTAAAGAAATCATAAAAGATAGTGTAATCAAACTTCATAAACAGATACATTCTGATGTAAGCTATCTAACTGCATCAACATTTTTTTACCTTGACCCTTCCTTTGACCTCACTTTTCCTTAATAAGTGTTTAGCACAGTTTTAAAGAAACCGTTCAAGATAGTGTAATCAAACTTCATATGCTGATACATACTGATATTTGCTTTTCAACTGCATCAAGAGTTTTGACCTTGACCTTTCCTTTGCCCTCACTTTTCTCAAATTAGTATTTAGCTCAATTGTATATAAACCATTCAGGATAGTGTTATCAAACTTCATATGTTGATACATACTGGAATTAGCTATTCAACTGCATCAACATTTTTTGACCTTGACCTTTCCTTTGACCTTGACCTCACTTTTCTTAAATTTATGTTTAGCTCAGTTTAAAAAAAAACATTCATGATATTTTTATCAAACTTCATATGCTTATACATACTGATGTGAGCTTTTCAACTGCATCAACACTTTTTGACCTTGATCTTTCCTTTGACCTTGACCTCACTTTTTTTAAAATCAGTGTTAGCTCAGTTTTAAAGGGGCCAACTGGGGTTTTAATTGCACAATACTTTGCGCAGCATAGTAAAATAAAGCATATTTACTCTTTTAAAGCAACTATTTTCACATAATTTTTAAAAATTAACAAATTTAGGAAATCTCAGGTTAAAAAATCTAATTACATTTTTAAATAACTGATTTTTAAAATGATTTTTCAAATGATGGGTAGATAGACATCGTAATAGTGTGTTTTTGACGTTATGAATAACCAAAGTTCTTTAAGCGGGGTCATTAATTATGCCATAAAATAAAAAGTATAAAATACATGCTCTTGAAATTTTAAACATAGGAAATTGATAATCTTACAATCATTTTTATTTTTTTTAATGTAAATCTGTGGTATCTGTCATGTTTTGTTGTACTCCATAAAAACAGGTAAATATCTTTGAGATGCCCCCTCTGGAAACCAGATGGTAGAATTTTGTGTTTCTTGCACAAAATGTACAATATAGTATTACCCATCAAATAATATAATTTGAGCAAAACGTCTACAGTAGCATTTGCAAAATTTGCTCTGAAGTGCGAAAAAATTGTATTTTCCTATAAAATCCTATAGTAAATGTACCTGTATTTTGAGATGGTCCCTAAAAAATAACTTGATGGTAGATTTTCACTAACCTTGGCATGTATACTGAAGTCAATGTAAGGTATATATGGTATAAAATTAAAGAATTTCTCTATAGTAGTTTTCACACAATAAAACCCCAGTCGGCTTCCTTAAATAAACCATTCAAGATATTTTTAAAAAACTTCATATGCTGATACCTACAGTGAGAACTATTCAACTGTATCAAAAACATTTGACCTTGCACTTTCCTGTGACCTTGATCTCACTTTTCTTTAATTTACATTTTGCTTAGTTTTAAAGAAACCATTTATGATATTTTATGTTAGCTTATGCACTTACACATAATTTTATGAGAATTCATCATCTATACCTGAAATTATAGAATTTCAATTTTAAAGAAACTATTCAAGACATTCTCATCAAACTTCATACACTAATACAAATTTTACTGTTGCATTACTAATATTCACTTTGCGGGGCATTCATGTCCTATGGACATATTTCTAGTTTGAATTTGCTCCATTTAAATTTACCCACTTGGAACAAGGACCAATGGTGCAAAAATAAAGTGGGGACAGAATTTAACCTGTGTACAGTAGATCCATTCATAATGAACATCCAATATTAAATGTAAGCTACCATGAGAAGAATGCAGCATGAAAAAAAAAGATTGTCATTCTTAAACATGTACATACAACCCTATGAAATGACCCCCAAACAAGATGATAAGTCAGTAAGATAATTAAATTTAATGTGTTACTCATTTAATTTCTCAATCTCTAAAATTATATGTACATTCAAATGAGAAAACACCAGAAAAAAATGTACTTGAAAGTTCATAGTATTGTCATCTTTGATAAAATCATATCCATTTCAGTCAATATCATAGGAAACTCCGGGCATTGGTCTTATCTTATTTCCAAAGAGATCTTGTTCGTAATGCCTTGGATTGCAAAACTGCACGGCTGTACCTGATGGCCAAGTTGGGACAGTTTTCTCATAACCACTGACGTGAATGAGTCCCATTAAAAAAGCCATTGGCCAAAAGATGTGCATCTTTTTGTATTTCTTCACTGTAAAATAAAAAGATTATTTGGATAATGGAGAGACAAAATATGATATTTTTCTTTCCACAAACAGCAGTTTGCAGAAAATAAGTACAATATGGTATGTCAATTTTAATATGTTTGTATATGTAGTTTGATTGATTGATTGATTTTGTTTAACGCCGAGTCTGCAATATTTCAGCCATATTTCAGCGGTGAAAAGTTATGTTCAGGATTGAAAGATATTTTGGGTTTCTCTGGCGGCCCCCAGTGAGCCTACTCTTTTTCATAAACCAGAGAAACGATCTTTTACGTGCCAAGGGGGTTGTTATCCTTGACAAGGGGCACCATTTAACGTCCCATCCTATGTAGTTTGAAGACTTTTGTAGTTTGAAGACTTTTGCTAAGTGAATAGCTGACAACCTTCACATGATCAGAGTGAAGCTTTGGGAAGTGAGTCAGGCAAGGTAACCATCTAAGATTCTTATCTAGAATCTTATTTAGTTCAGAAATTATACATCTGACATACAGATTCAAAACAAATTCAAAACAAGATTCAAGTACCTTAAGACTAAAGGACTATATTCGGTAATGATAAATATTTGCCCCCAAAATGAAACTCTGACGAAGAAATATATAATTACATTCTAAAACAGGGGGATATCTGCAGACTTCAAAGCACTGAATATTTTCATAAGCCTTGACACCATATGTTAGATAAGACATAAGGAAAATGGAGTAAATTCAAAAATTTCCATGATTTATACAGAAAAAGGTATATATTATGTCTATATTTTGAGTAAAAGTTACCGAGCTCTGGTCTGCTCCAACTCAATATTTTGATATAATGTGTAGAATGATAATATCAATGAAATATGTAAATATAATAAATATTGTTCTGGAGCAGGTCTGCGCACTTTAAATTTTATAGTAAACATTGAACAAATTTTGTCCATTTTTTTCCTCTTTCCGAAAAATAACACAAAATCTGAATAGTTTGTGACGTCATAGAAACAAACATAGGTAATCAGAGATTACAGGGCTCACCTCAACGAATGTTGTCTTTAAGTAAGGCAAAGTCCCACACTAACTAATAATCTAGGAGTGTGCATCCCTAGATGCAACATTTATGCAATTTTGGTCTGATAGGGCTTGCAGTTACTTGGGAATAGACTTATCTGAAAACTTAACACTTGTCACTCATCCAGAAAATGTAAGTCAAATCCAGCATCCGAAGCAAGTTTGAGATTGTTCGTCCCTTGATGCATCATCCATGCAAGTTTGGTTCAGATAGGCCTTATAGTTACTTGGAAATGACATCTGCTCCAAAACCTTTAACCTGGTTACTCATCCGGAAAATGTAGGTCAGATCCAGCAGCCGAAGCAAGTCCAGTAGTGCATCCTTAGATGCATCATCCATGCAAGTTTAGTCAATACAGGGCTTATAGTTACTTGGAAATGACATCTGCTCCAAAACTTTAACCTGGTTACTCATCCGGAAAATGTAGGTCAGATCCAGCATCTCAAGCAAGTCCAGTAGTGTGCATCCTTAGATGTATCATCCATGCAAGTTTGGTCAATATAGGGCTTATAATTACTTGGAAATGACATCTGCTCCAAAAACTTTAACCTGGTTACTCATCCAGAAAATGTAGGGCAGATACAGCATCCGAAGCAAATCCAGTAGTGTGCATCCTTAGATGTATTATCCATGCAAGTTTGGTCAATATAGGGCTTATAGTTACTTGGAAATGAGACTTGCTCCAAAAACTTTAACCTGCTCCCAAAACATTAACCTGGGCATTCTTTAGCTGAAATTGCAGCATCTGAAACCTTGACTGGTACAATGAAACACACTAGAAGCATCCTCCATGCATCTCTGACTGATATAGGCCATAGAAGTACTTGAAAAGAAAACTGCTCCAAAAACCTTAACCTGGGACGCCGACGGTATTACATCAGCTCCCCCAACTTCATTGAGGTGAGCTAAAAATTGCCAATAACCTACTTTGAAACTATAATATTTTTTGTTAATTTAGATTTCTATTACAATATATATATTTCAGCACATTTCAAGAAATTATCAATATATGAATTTTGTGGGGGTGAAAATATGCATGTACCGTACATAGTTCTTTCTGGATCATTTTCAAAGTACTTACCTAGAAGTATGGACTTCATTTTTTTATGTTATTTAGTTCAGAAGTTATAGATCATACAGGTTAAAAACAAATTCAAAAGAAGATTCAAGTGCCTTAAGATTAAATTTCTGGATGATTTTCAAAGTATTTACCTCGTAGTATGGATGTCAATTTTCTAGGACAGCTTAGTGGAATAGTAGGCTGTTTTACTCAAAGAATAGTTGAGTAGTCATTAAAAAAATTTAATTTGTGTGTGTGTATGTGTCAATGTCAGGTTTTGCCATTTACAGACTGGTACAATATTCATTTACTCCATGCTACCATCACATACTTAGTTTTTTCGAAAAAAAACTTTTAAGTAGCAAGAAATATTTGAACTTAATATATATATTTGATTTGAAATGAAATGGTCTGAAACATGGGTAGTTGGAGATTACAGAGCTCACCTCAACGAATGTTGTCTTTAAGTAACACAAAATCCCACGCTAAACTAAATATCTAGTAGTGTTGTGCATCTCTAGATGCATCATCCATGCAAGTTTGATTCAGGTAGGTCTTAAAGTTACTTGGGAATGGACCTGCTCTAAAAATTTTCTTATGGTCATTCATAAGGAAAATGTAGGTCAGATCCACATCTAAAGCAAGTCTGATAGGTTCATCCCTAGATGCATCATCCATGCAAGTTTATTCCAGGTAGGTCTTACAGTTGCTTGGAATGAACCTGCTCCAAAAACTTTCACCTGGTCACTTTTCTGGAAAATATATGTCAAATTCAGCATCTGAAGCAACTCTAGTATTGTGCATCAATCAGGCTCATAGAATGTGAGGAAAGGGGTATAGTATTCTGCTATAGTAAATTTTCCTTAAGATGCCCCCCCCCCCCCCACTTTTTGTTGTTGTATAAAGGACTGGGAGAGGTAATTGGTTTTTTTTTTTTTGCTTTTCAGATTTTTTTCCAAAGTTGCCCCCCCCCTTTTTGGAAAAGGTTGCTACAGGCCTGTCAATAAATGTATCTTCAGTGCAAAGTTAGTTAACATAGCACTTATAGTCACTTAAGAAAGAAATTGCTCCAAAAACTTTAATCTACTCACTCATCTGGAAAATATAGGTCAGATCCAGCATCCAAAGCAAGCCTGGAAATGTGTACCCTTAGATGTATCATCCGTGCAAGTTTGGTCAATATAGGGCTTATAGTTACTTGGAAATGAAACCTGCACCATAAACTTCAACATGCTCCAAAAACTTTAACCTGCTCCCAAAACATTAACCTGGTCATTCTTTAGCTGAAATTACAGCATCTGAAACCTTGACTGGTACAATGAAACTTCCATGCATCTCTGATTAATGTAGGGCATAGAAGTACTTAAAAAGAAATCTACTCCAAAAACTTTAACCTGGGACGTTGACACCAGCGCCTAGGATATTACATAAGCTCCCCTCAACTTTGTTCAGGTGAGTTAAAAAAAATATTGGTCAATATTTGGAGATATACAAGTAAAAGGGTGAGTCGGTGTCACAATCAAGTCCAGTAACAACATGTTGTGTGTATCATTCATGAAAATGGTTTCTCTCATGTCTTTCTAATGTATTAAAAAAAACTTCAAATTCTATTAAATATCCCGGAGAATTCACTTTATACATGTGTTTTAACTACATATTTACTATTTATTTCTATTGGGCTCAGATGAAGTGGCAATATGGAATTCAAAGGTTCCAAATTTTTTCAATACAAATAAATTAGATTTAAGAACCCTCTATACACTGCACACTAAAGAGTTCCAATTCCATGCTATTTTTATGCAGTTAGAGTGATCTGCCCTTAGATCTAAAATGGAATAAATTGAAATCTAAATTTGTTATTCAATTTGTAATCAATTCAAACATTCTGAACATTTCATTTGGTCTAGTTGAATTAAATGAACGCCTTATTTGCATGTATTTTTGCCATTTAAGTAAGCAACAGTGATTTCAGTTCACCAACAATTCATCGTCTTTGAATATTTTTCCTGGAGATAAATGGCAGGTACCCTATGTTGAAAATTAAATAGATGAACTCCATATTTATATCTTTATATGATATAATTTTCTCAGAGCCTGAAAAACATTTTTCATTGGTGTATATAGGGTCCTTAAGTGAAATATATAAGAGTATATTCACTTGTATATTGCAGTCATTGGGAAGCTAGGCCATAAAGGTCAATGGGACTATGGTGCAACTGTCAAAGTTTTTAATGGGCCATTTTGAAAATGAATGGGCCATCTATATATATTCTGATGGGCCATTTCAAGAAAAAACAAAATGACAAACAAAATGTGAAATAGGATAGGAAACATGTTTCTTTATTAACCAAATCTTATTTTTCACGTATGGAGTGTTTCACATTTAATGGAACCCGCAAACAATATAATTTTCTCATATTTTGGATCAATAACGTCAAAATCTCAATTAAAAATGGGAAATGAGTGAGATAATGTACCTTTGATGTCCTAAATAAACTTTATAAAGCACTTCATGTAACAGGAAACAGTTTTTGTTGGGTTTTAACCAATGAGATTTATTGTATTAAAATGACTGCATTTAAAATGAAAGTAAAACAAGCAAGAAAGTTGTATGCAATATATTTCCAACTAATATCGCTAAAATTTGAATGCGCACCTTGGTGCCACAAATGGTTGATTTAATACGCCAATTTTCACTTCAATGCGACTATGGTGCATGGCGCAAGCCCTTCCCAATCACTGATATTGTTTTAAAGATTTACTACTTGTGCCAATGTAAAGGTGTGAAGTTCCAGCTGAAGCATACCAAAATAAGTAATAACTCTGATGTAAAAAAAAAAAAAAAATTGACCAAAACAAAAATTTATTGGTATGACTGATGACCATTTTCCACAAACTGTGTATCCTCAAAATGTATTCTCAAAACTGTGTGCACTTCACTAAATCCACAAAAAGTGATGCTCACGAATACTGATGAAACCACAGCACTGGATTCTGATAGGTGAAATAAATTTGACTAAGTAAAACAACATATGAAAAAGAGTTTGTTCTTCTATGTAATTGTTTTTGACTTTTAATTTTTAAATGTGGGTCCCAAATACTAATTTAGGCTAGTAAAACTTGTAAAGTTGGGGGTCAATATAGCCCATCAAGTTTAAATGTTTATATTTATATTATTTGCAACCCTGGAGATATCACAATTTAGGATGATCAATTTTATCTGTAAATATGTATACAAGAATTAAATTGGAATCTGATTTATTCATATTGTCTAAAGTAAATAATTTGTTGTCATGCCCCTTTTATCACAGATTCGAAAATCAATAATTTGTTTTCATGCCCCTGTAATCACAGATTCGGATGCATATAGTTTTTGGTCCTTTCCTCTGTCTATTTGTCCACAACAACTTCAACCTTGGTCATAACTTTTGAATGATTAGTGCTAGGGCTTTCATATTTCACACATATATTCCTTGAAACAAGACCTTTCCCTGAGTACCAACATTTTTCACCTCCTGACCTTGGATTTCGACCTACTTTTGAAAATTTTTTTTACCTGGACTATAACTTTTGAATGGTTGGTACAAGGGTTTCTCATATTTCACTTGTGACCTTTCTTTAGATACCAACATTTTTTAACTCCTGACCTTGACCTTGAAGTTTGACCTACATTTGAAATACTTTAATTTTAGTTACTTATGACATTGGAGTTTGACCTACTTTTGAAAAAAATCAGTTTTAGCTACTTACAGATGGGGCCTTTTACTACAGCCCAGGTGGCATTGGCAGCAAAAAACACCCCATATAAATTATCTCTGTCAAAGTATGTATTCCAGGCATACCATGAAGCTCCAAAGAATAATGTAGAAAACACTGAAAAAAAAAATGTACATGTATGTAATATATTTCAAATAAATTTAGTTAAGATTTTGTACCATAATTCAGTGAAAAATTACTTCATGCCAAGCTTAATTTCTCAAAACCCAGTGATGTGTTCAGAAAGGCCCTATTAAATGTGTGTGTTCTTATATAATTACTTTGCATTATCAGCCTTAAGTATATAGAATATCACTGAACTTACTTGACAAAGGTACATTTCTTGCCAACAGTTGTGCAAAATAGCGTGCAGTACGAGATCCAGGATTTTTGGGATGGGGTAACAGGTAGCAGTCTGCCACTGAGAAATACACCCCTGTGAATAGAAAAAACTGTAATTTTTTAAGACTTTTTCATACCACTCAGTAATATTCAGAATTGCTTAATGACTGTGTGCATATTCAATACACAATTCCCATTAGAAATATATCTTAATTATCTCCATAATTTTATTTGATGGATCTTTAAAGTGTCTCTTTTTAAATATGATTTCATCATTGAAAACCCAACATGAACTCTTCATTATTTAACACGATTTCTTCTTTCTTCCATTTTTTTAGGTAGGCCATAATTTTTCATAGAAAATGGAAAAAATGTTTAGGTTGCAAGTAAGACACTTTAAGGATCCTTTATACATGTAATACATTTATAAATGTTTTATGGACATGCATTGAGAAAACTGCATTGTATAAATGTTTAAACATTGAGTTTTTCTTTTTCATTTTCAACAATTTATTTATACCAGGAATTCAAAAAACTTGTAGTTCAAAGACAACAAAGTACTAATGAACAGAAATCACTGTTGTCTTCTTAAATCATTAAGTTAAATGGGAAAAATGCATGACTACCTTTTTACACCTTCTCCTGCCTATCACTTTCACTCAAAAATCTACAGTAACGTTAACTGCTTTTCTACAATATCCATGGGTATAGCCATTTTAGAAGCCACTTGGGATAACTCTGTCAAAAATCATTTGACCATCACCAAATTTAAACTTGACCTGCAGATTTCTATGGCATTTCCATATGTCAAATTTGAGCTGACTGTGTGCAACTGTTACAGAGATAATGAACAGAAAGTGAATGATGACGGAATGACAGCAAGACGAAACATGGTAACACTTATATACCCCGGTCATTTTATGGCGGGGACATAAAAATGGGAATCAGCATTTCTTTTATACTTTTTTGCAACTCTATATTTTAATTTACTTTCACTCAGTCATCACGGGAAATACAAATCTTGCTTAAAGAAACAGGAACTAGTTATAGATTTGAATTGTCTGATAAAATCATTTGCTCTTTTTGGCTTGGCAACTTATAATGAACATTGACTTGCATGCAATTATTGCTTCCAGGATATACCAAAAGTTTAAGCGAGGGAACACAATGCCATATAATATTATATATAATACCAGAAATGACATAAGCGTTGATCGACAAAATAACTTGGCCATAAATCAAAGGTTTTTACAATGCTTGGCTCATCATCTGTAGCTCTCTGGTTTGTCTGTCCAAAATTTCTCAATCAGATGAACAAGTGTGTAAATATTGCTGCAGCTGGTCATGTTAGTCATTGTATAGGCATATCATCCCAAAACAGCTTCGTGTTTATGCACATAACCTCTTACTTCAATTTAATACATATTTATTATATTAAAAAAACTAGATAGTTAGTTCTAAAATATAATCAACTTTAAACTTCTTTACCATATATAAATCCGGCTTTGCCAAGAATGTACATTTTTTTGGTTGTATTAGTTCTAATGTCACCAAAGAACAAATGCATTTTCCCAACTTTGTCCCATTCTGTGGGTTCTTCTAATATTTGTCGCCGATATTTTTTCTTAAATTCTGGAGGAAACCCCTGTAAACCATATCCAGGCATTTTCAGGAGCTCTCTATCCTATGCCCTTGGCATAGAACAGATGTCTAAAGTTTAGTTTCGTAGGGTTACATTGGCATTGTTTCCATTTGGCTTTAATGTGATAAATTGGTAATCCACAGACAATTTAAAAAATAGCAAATATATTCTTGAAGTGAATCCCAAAGCTTTCCTTAAAAATCTAAATTTATAATACGGACTGGCGGCTGACTTCACTTTCACCGGAAGTGACAAAGAAAAACAAACGTCCACATGGCTGCCCGCTGCAGTTTTGGTTTTGAAGTTTAATTAGTGATGTAAAAATGAATTAACTATGGGGAAAACGAAGAATAAAAAATTCAAAATAGCGAGACCAAAACCAACGGGTTTGATGAGTGTTAAAGATGCAGAGAATGAAATGGACCAGAGTACAGAATCTCCAAACAGTGACTCGATTCATTCTCTACTAGAAAAGGTGAAAACTCCTAGATGCATGGACTCTGTGTGTCTTTTTTTCTCTCTTTCTTAAATTGAGATTCTCATGACTTTAAACACTCGCCGTTTCTCGCGGAAATTCATGTAACGTCTGAAATCACAACCCTGCTTGAAAATCTGAAGTTCCCTATTGCAGCTGGTTCTGTTTGTAGTCAACTCATAAAGAAGTCAAATCGAACACATTTCCAGCAAGCAGAAGTTCAGTCATAATCAGTACTTTGGTTATGAGTTGACTTTGGGTTTGCGAGTACAGAAGACAAGTTGTACCCTAAGCAAAATATTGATCACAACCATACTGTAGATTCCTTATTTTACACAAGTACTTAATATCGTGAAATGGCCAAAGGGCGTCAAATCGCCAGAACAATAATCCGCGAATGGGTGATTTATCAAGAGATTTTTAAAAATATTAAAGCACCATAAAAATAAAAGCGAGTAATTTTATTTTGCGAGTGGTGCTTCTCGCGTAATTACATGATAATTTATTCCTTGCATATATTAAAGGAATCTACAGTAACCTGGAGTCTCACTATGTAATATAAGTGTAAATAACTAAATTGGTATTGGGATGTTTTGCACTGATTCATGTGTGACCCCTGCTCTGGGAGGGTAGGGGGTTCACCTGGCATGAGTAGTGCACCCTACTCCCTGGCCTTAGTCAAGTCAAGCAATAACCAGTAGATTTGGTTACTGTGACAATTCAGGGCTCTCACACCACTTTTTTGGACTGGGGCCAGGGCAATAAGAATTGGGAATATTTACAATATTTCTGGGAATTATGGGATATTATCATAATAATCATACATTAAATTCATTGGATATTGGGTTTCTGGTGTTTGTTATCAACCAGATACAGAGGATTATGAATAACAAGTTTACTTATCATAGATATACAGCTATATAATATGTTCTTTTAATTAATTGGGGGGGGGGGGGGTGATGTAAAAGGGTTCATTCAAGAAAAACAACATCCTTGGTTCTTATATTTATTGAATAAAATATGTATGTATGTATGTAGACCCTGTAATAGCAATAAAAATTTTTAGCCAGATAAAAATATAAATTTAACACAAATACAATATGTCATTATTATAATAAGTCTCATACTTTATAGTTTATATTCTCATTGAATAAAGTTGATGTAAAAATAATTACCACTTCTTTATCACAGTTCAATTTATCATAAAAATAATTCCTTTGTTAATTTAGTCATTTAATTAAAAATAAAAGAAAATCTTAATAATTATCATAATCATTATTTGATATTAAATAATTCTGTCAGAAGCAAATAATCTTACGTGATTTCATTTTGAACATTTACACAAATACAATTTCATGCATTGGAGAATACAAATGAAATTCAACACAAAATATAGACATGCATGACAAATACTCAAAAATAAGTTCTGTCAACACATACAGTGGTACAACACATAAACATAAAACACATAAATTAACTTTAATATGGTCAAAATGTCTGGATGGTACTCTAATTAATATACATGTATACAGTACCCACATCATTATTCTTTACAGGATACATGATACGAATGAAGGTACAAGGCTTTTTAGTGTATTTAATTTAATGCTATTTTAAAAAATATACTGCACTAAGTATGTGCTATCAACAATCTACTTAGAATTGAACCAGCTATAATATTTATACAGCTGAATGGTCCATCAGAAGAAGAGAGGGAATGTAGTTGTACAACTTTAGCCAATCTTGTATCCCAGCCAAGTGCTGTAAAAATTCTCCTCCAACACAATGTTGTGAAAATTCTGGCCCCAGTGATTTTAGATAAAAACCCAGAGATTCAAGTCAAAGCCCTTGGGGCACTGAGGTAATGACTTTTGTGTCTAGATGAAGAACTGTAATTGTGTGATAGTTGAGTTGTGAGCTTTATGTGTATTCTGATGTTTTTTTTTTTTCTGTAGAAATCTAAGTGTAGACGGTGGTGAAACAGTTTGTCAAGAAATGGTCAAGAAGGACGTGCTCACTCCTCTCCTGATTCTTTTTAAACAGGTAAACTAAAAGGCTGTGTTGCATTAACCAACAAATTTGAAAATCATCATTATAATGAAAATTGTTTTCTTTCATTTCCAAAAGAAATATTACCAAAAATGTGAAATGAGATACCCTTTAAGGCCTACAAGCATGGCAGAAAAAGTTTGCAACTGCATCTAGAAATACAGGGATTATGTATCTGGGCATTTTATATCACTTTCATCTTCGCTAGCCAATTGTCCGATTTGTTTACCGAAGATATTTCACTTTGGACTCTGAGCACTTTTTGGTAACTGATATGCAAATTTTCATGTTGAGGATTATAAGCATTTTAAAATCAAATTTAAATAGACTAGTGCTGACCATTAATTAAATTCATTAAAATTATCCTGCTCGAAATCATCATTCATCTGTTCAGGATGAAAAGTAGGGGGAGGACTGTGTATGGAGGTAAAATCCATGTAATTCAGAGTTGGATACCTTGTTTTATTGATACTTTAGGGTAAAAATTTATTGCAGAAACAAAGTGCCTATGCCCATTCCCCATATTCTTAAATTTTTTAAGAAAATGTTCAATGATATTTTAATCAAATTTTTTATAATTAATTGTACATATTGGTGAAAACAAAAGAATTGTATTAATCAAAAAAATATATTTCACACGGTTTTGTGAGTTTCATTCCAAAATGTCAGGAGGAAAAACAATGACCAGGTATAATTTCTCAATCTGTCTTAAAAGTTTATCTATTGAACTTTATACATGTAATATCACTTTTATTTTATTTTTTGCACAGTATGATTCTAACTGGACCCCAGAAAAGTCTACAGGAAAGAAACACAAGGACTTTAAGTCTTCCATTTTCACAGAAGCTGTGCATATATTGTGGAATCTGTGGTAGGTAACTTGATACTGTAAATGTTTGTTCTGTTTCCTTTTACCTTAGCTTAAGAATCAAATGAGCTTTTTTTGATTAAGTTTACTTTTAAACTTTCTATCTAGTACAAAAGCCCTGAAGGGACACTTAAAGAACGAGTGCACTTATGGGCCCCGGTAAAATGTGAAAAAATGAAGAATTAAATTAAGCATAATTTTTCATCTCAGATCATTAATTGATATCTAAACCATAAGATTCAACAAATTTTATCGCTGAAATTCATGAATATACATAGAGCAAAGCCATACAATGTGGTTGGGGTCAGCCGACATTTGTGATTGTCTATATAGTAAATCAAGGACGGTCATTCATTTCAAAGCTTTTGTTTACTGTACGTTGCCTAACGTTGTACAAACTTGTGCGAATGACAAAAAACGCATTATACATTTATAAAACTTGTGCGAAAGTAGGAAATTTGTACAAGATTAGGCTTGTACTTAAAATATTAAAAATGTATGAAAAAATCAATGTTTTTCCTATAGCGAGCGAGAGCTATTTACCTGTATGACCTATGTTGAACCCACCTGTGGAAGAACTTATTTAAAATACCGGTAGTTACGTGAGTTGTACCAAGGTAAACATTCCTCAAAGGTGCTCACTGTAAAAGATAGCCATGTTTTGTATCATTATATCGAAGTTGTGTCGCATAGAGATGTTTGTATGTATTTGGTTTTAGGAGCACGGGAGGGTTAGGAGAGTTTAATGTCGTTAAAATGTCAAAATACATAAAAGCGTCAAACATTTTTAACATTCATGCAAGACAATGGTACCGGTATTGAAAGCCACCTAAATACACTTTTTTCATTTTAAAATTTAAAGTACTTATTGTATTATTTTAAATGCAAGCGTGCAAATTTCTTAGTTTGATCACTATGGCTACAGGTATCTATACAACTTCATTTGATTTTTTTCTCAGGCAAGAAGTTTCAATCGAATCAGCAAACGTGCCCGTCAATGATCCACCATCAGATTGTTCAAGTGTCAATTTAAATGTCTCCTCCCCTTGATTTAAATAAACGAAACTCAAAATAGTTTCAGTACGACTTTTCCAGATTTGGGGTATCTTAAGGCATTTAAAAATCTTCATTTGTTTCAAATCCTTGCTGATTTAGGAGATGTTTTAACGTGATTTTAATTAGAAATATCCCACTTGTGTTTAATTATTACCAAAAGAGAACAATTTGGTAATATATTCTAAAGTAAAACGGCACTGAAAAGGGCCCATTAAGCAATGCTTAACACCCAAACTCAATAAATTGGTGCAATTCAAGATATTTTTTCTTCAAAAATCGACTTTTGATTATCCATCTGCTAATAACATTTTCAGATAGATCAACATATCAAGTTTGTATTCCCAAAGATTTTTCAAGTTAAGTTCATTGGTTAAGAAATTACGTCAATTTGAAATAAAGGTTTATTGTTGATCATTATTTGCTGAGAAACAAGCGTTACGTATTATATTTATTTATAGTTTTCCTTTAAGATTTTAGGATGAAATAATATAGATTGTAATAAATCCTCAATGTCAAAAGCAAATCGGTCTACTTACTTTTGTGATAAGACAAAAAAGGTCAACTGTCATAATGTATTTTATGAATTGATGCAGTCAGATTGTCGTATTATATTTTTTTCTTCAAATGAATTTG